AGCCTCTGACTTACCTCTGCCTAATCCCGGTCCTGTCACAACAAAACCTGCTTTTGTAATACACCCACAAAGCAACACGTCCTCCGGCAGCGTACACTGCCGATAATCTGATTGTCTATGACGTCAGCTGATTGTCGATGTATCTATTCTGTGATGTCATTACTTATGGGGACACAATAAACAATGACGTTGCTTCATTGTTGACGTCACAGATTCCTGCTTAACGACATCACAACTGTGTCGTAAACCGTTTGTGGACACCTGTAACTATTTGGCAAGGGTCGCTCCTGATTATACGGGCCACTGAGACAGACACGGTCCCTTTATCAACCCAATACGATGCTCTATGTCATGAATTAGCACAGTTTGCAAACAAAATGCACAAAATTTACAGCAAAGAACGCACATCAAATCCTAGCAACGAAACCAACCTCAGGTAGACAGACCACTGGCGTGTTTACAGTAATACATGCGGGAGTATTTGGAAAGGACCCTCATACTTACAACTGAATTCTATTTAAAAACAATCTGAAACATCGTTGCACCTGCCGAGTAAATGAAGTGAACATTCTATAATATACACCAAATAACTTCCTTCAAGCAAATAGTTACTGATGGCACAAAGGCGGTATCATGTTATAACTACGTCTGCGACTTGCTGATTTAATTTCCAAACAAAGACTTACTAATTATACCTGTGTTAACCACACAACATGATAGTTACGGAGGATGACAACAGAATGCTTTTCCTTACTGACTGCGACTTCAATACACCACAGGAATGGATCCATCTGAACATCAACCTCAACACAAGTGATACTTTCCTTTTAACAACTACGCGATCTCATCTAGGCACACACATTCAAGTTATATTATGTGACGGCAACCAACAGTCACTACACAAATCCGAACGTTAACTCTGTACATTTCCTGGAAAGGGCAACATACTAGTTATCCAATCACATTCAATTAAAAGCAAATTTAACGCTCGTAGCAAGCCCATTCATTCACTACCACAATGCCGACACTGCCAAGAACATTTTCCTCGTCACCATAAGCTTTATCTATTATTCATACTAAATTACTAGACAGAGGAATTTAGTATACAATCACCAAATCTAAACAGTCGTCTGCAGTGAACACAAGTCACTGCATAACGCGAAGGTCTGTTTGAATATTGAAAGAAAATGGTTTCGCATCAAAGAATATGGCCTCTGACTTACCTCTGCCTAATCCCGTTCCTGTCACAACAAAACCTGCTTTTGTAATACACCCACAAAGCAACACGTCCTCCGGCAGCGTACACTGCCGATAATCTGATTGTCTATGACGTCAGATGATTGTCGACGTATCTATTCTGTGATGTCATTACTTATGGGGACACAATAAACAATGACGTTGCTTCATTGTTGACGTCACAGATTCCTGCTTAACGACATCACCGCTGTGTCGTAAACCGTTTGTGGACCCCTGTAACTATTTGGCAAGCGTCGCTCCTGATTATACGAGCCACTGAGACAAACACGGTCCCTTTATCAACCCAATAAGATGCTCTCTGTCATGAATTAGCACAGGTTAAAAACAAAATACACAAAATTTACAGCAAAGAACGCACATCAAATCATAGTAACGAAACCAAGTTCGGGTAGACCACTGGCGTTTTTACAGTAATACATGCGGGAGTATTTGGAAAGGACCCTCATACTTACAACTGAATTCTATTTAAAAACAATCTGAAGCATCGTTGCACCTGCCGAGTAAATGAAGTGAACATTCTATAATATACACCAAATAACTTCCTTCAAGCAACTAGTTACTGATGGCACAAAGGCGGTCTCATGTTATAACTACGTCTGCGACTTGCTGATTTAATTTCCAAACAAAGACTTACTAATTATACCTGTGTTAACCACACAACATGATAGTTACGGAGAATCCTCTCCTTTTTACAACTACGCGATCTCATCTAGGCACACGCATTCAAGTCATATCATGTGACGGCAACCACAGGGCCACGTATAGCCATACTATACTGACTGTACTGATTACATTACATTTTTTTAATGTAATCAGTTCAGTCAGTATAGTATGGCTATACGTGGCCCTGTGACGGCAACCAACAGTCACTACACAAATCCGAACGTTAACTCTGTACATTTGCTGGAAAGGGCAACATACAAGTACATGTTATATTTAAACCTTACAGTATACGACCAGACAAAGCCACACGCCTTGTTCGCAGCATGACAAGCATGTCATTGGAAAAGCATTTTCTCTCCATGTACAAACTGCTTGGAAATCAGACATTCACTGGAGTTTACAAGGGGTTCATACCAAATGCTCAAACTCGATTCCGTCGACATGTTGTTGGGTTGATCAAATGTATTATAACGGAATGTTTGAAAAACGTTAAGGGGGACGCCACCTGACAAGAAGGTTTGGAGCGGGATATCAGATCCTGATATTGATGGTACTCGAAGTCAGTATATTGACACATGGAAAACATCATGTACCTGATGAGAGATCAAGACAAGGGCCTGTTCCCTTGCCGAGTGAGTGAGTGAGTTGGGTTTAAAGGGATTGTAACGAAATAAAATTAATTTTACTCATTGCTGACATTATAGATGACATATCAAATAAGACTTGAAGACTTGCAATAGTCTAGATTGTCATACGTTAATCGAGAGTACAGTGTCCATAAATAATTTGTGAATCTAATATTAATTTTTGATCTAATATCCATGGCAGAATGTTTGAAAACGAGCTATAATATATTCCATTTTCTGAAGAGATTAGTAATGTGTATTTGATGATATATATGCATACACAATTGGTTATCAATTATCTTCTACAATCAAAGCATGTACCATGTACATTAGACTCATGGAAAATACTATTTCAGCAAACCAATCACAGCGCCATTATCACAGTTTCAATGAAAGGAAAAACAAATCGAAATCGAACTTTACAGCACAGCGTATCCATAAGCGGTTAATCCAAATACAAAAAGGTATTGATGTCATCATTGTAGAAGTTATGTTGATGTTTTCAGTAGTTGCATTATGTTTGTATCGCGTGTACCATCGACAGAAACGGGGGCCGAGCTACCACATGTGGAACCGACCTTGACACAATTTGTTTACAATATGGCGTCGACTCACGTTAGTTGTCGTGGCCACACTTTTGAAATCTCCATTTGCGACAAAATGTGAAACAGTTAGGGCAAGTCACTCACACGTGCAATCACACATGACTCTTAGTCATTTCTTATGAAAACAAGTAGCAGTTATTTGTCTGAACGGGCGAGTATGTAGGACAACCGGTAGACACGAAATCGCGGCACAGATATGATGCGAACGTGCCTTGTCGATGACTTCGGGCTTGGCCATTCAATGTTTAGGTTTTCATCATGAACCTCCTGCCCATAAATATACACTATACCAACTTAATATTAACGATTTTAGCTATCTTTCCATATCTTTGATTTGAATATTTTCTGTAAATCAGCATCATAAACAAAAAGACAATCTGCACTGTCAGTTGGTATATAGCGCCGTGCTAAATCGCCATGACACACAGTCGATAAACATATGCAATACTTGAACAAAAAACTTCCGTGGCCGACTAAACGTAAGTACTCTTACGCTAATAACTGTACAGTGGGGACTAGTAAATCTTTCTGACCAGTCCGATCAGATTTCTTTTTCAAATTGGCTGTTTGATATAATAATAGTTACGTGTATGTGACATGGGTGTATAATAAAAAATTGCCTTCATTCGCTTGGTGTTCAAACATGGCAGAAAAAGATCGAGAAGCGCGGTAACCACATTAATAATCTCGCCATATTTCGCAATCCGCGGCACTGCATAAAATATGAGTAACACGATATTAACGTTGAGATGATTAGGGTGATGATGGTTATAAATTCATTCAATAAACGTCATAAATGTAATGGAAATATACACTGTCGTTTTCTCATGTGTACCGACCATTCCGCCATTACCGTTAGTCGATAAAAATATACAAAACGTGTAAATAAACTTGTTCATAAAGGAGTGAACAGAATTGTATATAATTTAATAAGTATACAGTTGGGAAAAAATTGTCTTTCTGACCACTCAGGTCATATTTTTGCTTATGGACAAGGATTTTGTCCTTGTTTTAGCCCCTTGATGCCGAGCGTCAGACAGGGTAACAACATGTACCAACTTTTTACGTCTTTTGTGTTTCTGTTTCTGTGTGGCTGCTTGTAGTAGTGTAGCGGCCATAAAATTTTTGAGTCTCGTGATGGGACTCGAACCACGGACCTTCTGATACGAGGTCGGACGACTTGTCCACATGACAAAAGAGGTTAACCCCGTCAGCAAGCTGACAAGGTAAGGATGTCATCTGTGGGATGCCTCCACGCCCTGCTACATACTCCCCGTCAACAGAAGGCACGTCCCGGGCCGCATAGTAGGGTACTAAGCTTAGGCTTATTTTGCTCAAATTTAATATGAACGTGCTCAGCCCCACGTTGGGTGCCAATGTAGCAAGCTGACAAGGTAAGGATGCCATCTGTGGGATGACTCCACGCCCTGCTACACTAGTCCGGACTGATGCCTACTTACAGTGCTAGCTCACTGAGATACCATGCCGCCGTTTAACATGAATACCCCACTCAGACACAGTATACTGACTCCGAGTCGACCAGTTCTTGTTTAAACCCCTTAATGCCAAGCGCCAGAAAGGGTAACAACAAGTACCATCTTTAAACGTCATTTGATCGAACCCCGGACCTTCCGCTCTCCGGGCGGACGCTCTACCACTAGACCACGGAGGCAGTCGACTATATCAGAAGGATGTGTTTATAAATCACTTTCACAAACTAATAGTTTCTGATGCTCGACACTAATCACAACCTCACACTGAAAAAAACTGACTGAAAATGAACTTTATATCAGTGAGCAAAGTCCCCCTTTAACGAGAACTTAAATGAACATTTCTTCATCTGACATACCGTGAAACTCCACCCACGGTTGCTGGTGTTGGTTGTGACGTCATAAGGGGCGTGTCCTCCAGACGCCCCCATCCACGTGGCACTACTTTGACCAAACATAATGGTGTCAGGGTTGGCTGCCAATTCCTTCAGGCGATTGTACAGAGCTACAGTCTCCGGGGTGGCATTGCGGTCATTGGGTTGACTCAAAACAATTGGTAGCAGCACGAAGACAAAAAACACATACCTATAAATGAGATATATAAATGTTCAATACATATATAAAATATATTTTCGTGTCATATATAGTACTCGATATTCCGGGAAATGTAAAAGACATACATTCCAATAATCCCTAGTTATTTTTGTTATGTTTCTTTCCATAAAAACGTGGCGTTCTGGTGACAAGTTGATGACATAGTAGTATATGTTTGATATTATGTTGGTATGGAGGCACGGGTGGCCCAGTCGTCTAAGTCGCCGTGATTCGCTGTGCAGAGTTGCGTCCCTTGGGAACGCCAGAGACCTATGATTGTGGGTGCGAATCTCGGTTCGCCCTGATAATGTTTCTAGGTTTATCAGCACCATACTCTAGCTCGTGGGTTTCACCGAAGTGGTTATTGTCTGATCCCTGCATCACTTCGGGCATTCCTCCCACATTAAGGTGACACGCCGTGATATAACTGGAATACTGTTAAAAGCGGCGTTAAACCCAACTCACTCACTCACTCACTCAACATATGTTGATATGTTAGCTTCTCGACAGTTTTTAAATAGATGAAAATGTTATCTTCATTGCAGCATTTACTAAAACTTAGATAAGGAAGAAATCATTATATTCGTCGTTTTCGCACTGATTTTACGAAATTCGTGTAAGAAAACATGTGTATTCATTTAAGGATTGACTGTGTATTTTTTTCGGTTCATTGAGGTATGAATCGAAAAGCCGATATGCAAACTGTATGAATCCGCGTAGCGGATTCTTACAAAAGTTTGCACATCGGCTTTTCGATTCATACCTCAATGAACCGAAAAAAATATACAGTCAATGCTTATAATGAAATTCGACAACGTAAAACATGTTTTATCTACAATAGTTTAACCCAAAACAGTTGCATATATCAAAACAGACAAAAATGACGACATTGATAAACATTCCAGGTGTAGGAATACATACAGTGGCGTGACATGAATCAGGTGATCGTTTAATTTATGCACATAACTTGACACGCCTACACAGTCAGTAGCCAATCAACGGAGAGTGGGATTTAAACAATGTTCATTTGACCTGTCAATTAAGGCAAGAGGCGAAAAGAACTGCAACAGTCAGACTGTAACGAACCGGAAGAAATATGTCCGAGAGAAGGCGGCAGTTTCAAATAACATGGTCATTTACTGCGTGATTCAAACATTACTTCCCTGATTACGGTAAATCACAGTTGGAGAAATGCTAGTTATAAATGAAACCCGAAGACATGAAAGTTGAACCGGGGCGAGCGAGAAAAAAACAGGCGAGCGAGCCTGCACGTTTGCTGTTTCATTCATTCTCGGCCTTCGGTTTCAAAGGGTAGTTTGGACAATGAATATGCATGAAAGTCGCTAAATGTCCTGTGCATGACGATACACATGAGCAGAAAGGGAATTCCCTCGACTGTAATATTGGGATTCCCCGACATTCCGAAGTAATAAAAGTAGTGCGCCGCGGTGGGCGTGGCTTAATTTTTTACACTCATTGGGAAATGAATGCAATAACACGTGACCAATTCAGCTAATCAGAATGCAGGAATTTCCATGACCACAACGAAAATTTAATTATTCCTCGTTAAACCAAAAATAAACAGCCTAATATTCATGAAATCAGTATAAAACATTCATATAGTAATATTCATATCTTATTTCATTATCAGCTGGCCGAAATACTGACTTACCTTGACATGTTGCTGTAGCACCCTGTCTCCAATGTTTATGTGGAGTGAGTGTAATGGTTCAAGTGACTGTTTTTGACCTGACATACATCCCTAAGCAAAACGTCAGCTGTTTATCTTTGGTTTGTTTGAAGGACATATAGTGCGTGTGCGCTTAGACTAAGCTTATATAAAGACGCACATACCTTCGTCCACTCCTAAAAGCGCCATACTATAGTTTTCCATTAGATGTCTTTAGATAACCCTGTTTATAGGAGTCTTTCTGTAGTTACCGTTATTGAACCGTTCACGTTATTAATATACTGATCTGTTGGCTCGTTAAGCAAATTAAGTGGGTTTAGTGAGTGAGTGAGTATGGCTTTACGCCGCTTTTAGCAATATTCAAGCAATATCACGGCGGGGGTGGGGATGGTTTGGGTGGGGTGTGATTTTGTGTTAAGCATAGATATTTTTTCAGCTACAGCTACCAAACCAGATATGATTTAAATTTAAGACTATGAAACTTTCTTATTTTAAAAAGAGAAACACCTTTCAACAATGTCGGAAGCATAATTTTACTTGCCAAGAATTTTCGGGGACAGTTTTGTTTCCTAACCCTCCATTGCTGGTTGTGATGTGACGAAATTGGATCAGACCCGTGAAGATCCTGGTTAGACTAAGAAAAATGCATAATTTGACAAAATTGGCTGTAACATTTTTATTAAGTCATTAAACTATCCAAATTATGTCTTTGATTACAGGTAATATGTTCGGTTATCTGAATTTGGCAAACATTTTGTTTCATTTTACTGTTATTCTAATTCTCAGTGGAAACATTGGTAAAAATCATGTTTATTTACTTCATTTTCAAATCTTGTGAGTAGGTAAAACACTAATTCCATTGAATTGTGACAATAAAACCACTGTAACTGGGTATTAAAATCTGCCTTAACCATTGTACTATCCTATACAAAAAACAAAATGAAAATATATTACATAGGGGTTGAGATATTGTATACAATGTTACCCCACCCCCCAAAAACCAATTTTGACGAAAATTGCTTATTGAGATATGGTGGTAGATGATGTTGCTGTAGTGGATGAGTGGGATAATTGCAACAATGCTTAAAAACACCAAAATAGTAAACTCATAAAGAAAAATGATGTTTCAAGTTTTTCTGTGAGCATTTATGGTGGCCATCTTGAATTTCAAGATGGCCGCCATTTTGACCTGTTTTCAAAATCAAGATCTTATATAGTTCTTCAACATGGTCATGTAATATATCATATGAAAGCTTTTCACATTGTCTTTGCAATGATGTACACTATTCACTGACTCCTGTGGTAAATTGATCCCCAATAATGAAAAAAGGAAATATTGAAAACTAATTTCACTCAAAATTGTAGATATACTGCACTTTTGTTTGAGCATTTCACTAGTATATAATTTGAGTGAAGAAGCAAACATGAGAATACTTGTAGTATTATGAAGTATTAAAAATAAAATGTGAAATAATGTCATCTCTAGTCACCGAGTCATCTGGAGAGGTAGGTAAGTTGTTTCTGTTTAGGCATGACATAGCACAACTGCATCCAAAGGAACATCCCATGATGTTCTCGGCGCAGCTACACCTGAATGAGGAGCATCTACCTGTTGTGCATTTACATGTGAGCAATTCTAGACACAGTGCTGGCATTCGTTTCTGAGTCATTGGAATGGGTTCTATGACATCGCCTGTAGACGTCCACCTATATCCTTTTGGTGGTGGAATGTCAGACCCTCTTTTGTGGGCAGAACACCACGTGATGCACTGGTGCTGACATCTGAGTAGAGGTTGTGTGGTTGGAGTTCCTCTAGGTCTCAAACTCTGTGGAACATGTCAGCTGTAAGTGTATTAATGCTAGTTGCAGTCGATGCTGGATTGTACACTTTGATGACAAGTGAGTCTGTCTCTTTCATGTTGAAGGCACCAGTTTCTTCTGTTGGTTGCAACAAATCTGGTTGTGTGATAAATATGTTCCCGGTCCACAACCATGACCGCATGGAATGCTGGTAGAGCTCCACACCCCCCCCCCCCCCCCCCCCCCACAATGATAACATGTACTTGTATATAATGTTCGTAATCGCTGCTGATAGATCAAATAATATAACCCGTGATAACATAACGTGTGAGTATCGTGTGCTGTTATTCCCACGATTTCGAGCATATTATGGTAAATGTTTCATTATTTACACGATATATCGTGTTAAAGTTCTGTTATTTACACGATGTCGTGCATATTGTGAGAAATTGTCTGTTATTTACACGATGTCGTGCATATTGTGAGAAATTGTCTGTTATTTACACGATATCGTGCATATTACGAGAAATTGTCTGTTATTTACACGATATCGTGCATATTGGGAGAAATTGTCTGTTATTTACACGATATCGTGTACATTGTGGAATATGTACTCCTTATGTACACGATATCGTGCGAATAGACACAGCCGGTTTAGACACTTGCAAATAAATATCATTGTCACGTCACATATGATTGGTTTAAAAACGGAAATCCCCGAAATGATTGTCCAATCAAAACATCGTTCTCTTACCGCTGCGTTGATGTTTTTGACAGCATGGGCACCTGAACACAACAGACAACGGCGAGAAAACGAGGTGAAGGTCACAGACATACACATTGGCTGCATACAATAAGTTACACACTGTCGCGACATTGATGAGGTTTTGAGATGATTGACATGTCCAACACAAAGGAGATTTTCGAATAAAATTCAATGTGTGAACTGTCCGGTTTTCGTTCATAGAAATGCCGATAACACAAACTCAATACTTAATTGTGGTGATCATGTACGGTCGTGGAATGTGAGATGTAGGGACATGTTTGCACTTCTGACGTATTTCTTTCTTATGTGTCTTGAGATAAACTTCCTCATAGTGAATTTTGAGGTTTTATTAGACATTCGCGTCTTCGTGCAAAGAGTAAATTGTCCAGTTCAATTCTCAAACCAAAACAACAGAGCTCTGCACAGCGATTACAATACATATATGCCTCGGTTGAATGAAGCCAATCACTCTCCAGCCAGTGTTCCTTGTGGCCAGGACCGCCTCCGTTGTCTAGTGGTAGAGCGTCCGCCCAGAGAGCGGAAGGTCCGGGGTTCGATCCCAAGCTGCGTCATACCAAAAGACGTTAATAGATGGTACTTGTTGTTACCCAGTATGGCACTCGGCATTAAGGGGCTAAAACAAGGACTGGTCGGCTCGGAGTCTGAGTGGGGTATTCATGTTAAACTGCGGCGTGGTATCTCAGTGTGCTAGCACTATAAATCGGCATCAGTCCGGACTAGTACAAGCAGCAACACACACACATACACGTGCATGCATGTCGCTATATAAGTGCAATAATCTTGGACGCGACGTTAAACCCCATTTCACCTCACCTCCTTGTGGCCAGCCTAGTACCTCTGTCACATTACAACATGTGTTTTTCATTTGTTTCATTTTGAATGAGTAAACACATATACATAGACATAACTTGCATTCAGCAAATATCCCAAAATATGAAAACAGACACCATAAGATAGATCTATTTTATGGTCTCTGGTGATAATCAATTTCCATTTGCATCTTCATCCTCAACATGCTGTCATCGAAGCCCTACAGAAAGCTAGTTATACAGTCACTTTGATGTGTAAAGCTACATTGCCATGCACCTCATCACTGTCTCAAGTGTGTCTTTATAATTATGCAAAATAATATGTAAAGCATACTGAAAGGTCGGCATCTATATCATGTATAAGACAGGCAGGCATTTATCAAGAATCTCCAAACGAAGTGCCCTTGGTAGGCACACTGGGAAATATACTGTTATTTTGTTACTGTCTTTTATTGAAGTTGGTATTTTAACATCCTATTTATAATTGAATTTAATGCAGCCATGTGACATCACTAATGGCTCCACTCCTGAAGCTGTTAGCAGTACTTTTTACATTTAAGACACTGCTTATTACTGTCTACAAACTGAAAAAACTGGAAGAATGATGTTGGATGATGAATAAAATCTCACCCGAGTGTCTTTTGATATCAAATATATCAACACTTGTTGATATGTTAATTAACAAAAGACACTTGGGTGAGAATCTCTATATAACTATATGAACATGAACTGGGAAATTTATGATTCCAATCTGGGAGTTTTTCTGACATTTGCTGCAGTCCTAGGGCTCATTACCAGCCTCTGAGCCATCTTCCCCAGGCAAGGGAGTTGACTGACTATAAAAGTCCAGTTTCCAACCTTGACGAACTAGGCAGGTATTATGGAGTTACATTTTGGCAGGACTGACGAGTCTATGCATAGTCCAATCAAAATCGCACAACAAAATTGAAATCCTGTCAGTAAACTCTCACATAGATTTCGGTCGATTGCAGGATTTGCAAAGCATGTACACCACCAACTCGCTGTCAACAATATTTTAATGCAAGTGCTACGAGAGGTGGAATCTGAATGGTCCATGGGAGAGGCTAAGAAGGGACATGACTCATAATAGCCACTGGTGGTGCTACAATAGAGCCCAGGAAACCCTAGTTCGGCAAGGGTGGAAACTGGACTTTTAAAGTCAGTTAACTCCCTTGCTTTGTTTCAGTAGGGTCAGATAAATCCCTGTTTTGGTTTCATGTTGAAATCCGGCTACTGGGAGAGGTACTATAGGGCTTGTATTAATACATTCACTATTGTTTCCAGCAGGAAAATGAATCTCACAAGTTTGAAAAGTATGCAACAGTTAAGGAAGCTTCTTTCAAGACAAACATGTAGAGCACTGTCTCACCAGGGTCGACCAGGATATGATGTCATCGTTGTTGGAGCAGGGCATGCTGGGACAGAAGCAGCATGTGCTGCGGCAAGGATGGGCGCTGACACGCTGCTTGTTACACACAAACTGGAAACTATAGGTAAACTTGGCATAGAGATCAGACATGATCAACATTAGGTTCAATCTGATTCTGTTTGCTCAGAACACTACTGGGTTAGAGGCTAGTTGAGTAGTCCAGTAGGTACATGCTGGTTCATCCTGCCAAAGACCAGGGTTTGATTCCCCACATGGGCACAATGTGTGAAACACATTTCTGGTGTTAACCCACCAAGATATAAGTTGCTCACTCCACCTCACACCACCCCACCACACCCACAACCTCACCTCACCTCCAACCTCACCTCATCTCACACCAAAACCTCACCTCAACCTCACCCACCTCACCTCACCTCACCTCATACCACAACCTCACCTCACCCCACATCCTCACCTCACACCATAACCTCACCTCAACTGATTTTATGTACATCTTCAAACATTGGGACCCGTGAATAGCCGGGTAGAGAATAGGTCTTCAGCAAACCATTCTTGCTGTAAGAGGCAACTGTGCTTGTCGTAAGAGGCGACCAACGGGATTGGGTGGTCAGACTCGCTGACTTGGTTGATGCATGTCATCATATCCCAATTGCGTAGATCGATGCTCATGATGTCAATCACTTAGATTGTCTGGTCCAGACTTGATTGTTTACAGACCGCCGTCATATTATATAGCTGGAATGTTACTGACTGCAGCGTTCATCAACAAACAATCAAACAAAGCAAATATTGGCTCGCTCAGATCACTTTGAGAAACCTGGTGCAGATGTAGTTATTCTGTCTCACATGGCACTCTCTTAGGGCAGAGTTGCATCCTTTAGGCATGACACAAACATCATGGGTTCGAAATCCTGTTGTACCCAGATTATTTTTCTAGGTCTGTCGGCATCATACCCATGCTCGTGGGTTTCACCAAAGTGGTAAATGTCTAAGACCTGCATCACTTCGGGCTTTCCTCTCACACTAACTAACCCGACGTGATGTTACTGCAATAATGTTCAAAGCGAGGTTAAACCCAACTCACTCACTCACTCACTCACTCACTCACTCACTCACTCACCTGGATTATGGTTCTAGGTTTGTCAGCATCATACCAGGGCTGATACATATCATCAAAGAGGGAAAGCTATATGATACATATCATCAAAGAGGGAAAGGTATATGACACATATCATCAAAGAGGGAAAGGTCTATGATACATATCATCAAAGAGGGAAAGGTCTATGACACATATCATCAAAGTGGGAAGGGTCTACGATACATATCATCAAAGAGAGAAAGGTCTATGACACATATCATCAAAGAGGGAAAGGTCTATGATACATATCATCAAAGAGGGAAAGGTCTACGATACATATCATCAAAGAGGGAAAGGTCTACGATACATATCATCAAAGAGGGAAAGGCCTAAGACCTGCATGGACTTGCCACCCACATCAAGCTGATGTGCTGTGATATACCTGAAATGTTGGTTGAAGCGGCGTGAAAGCACACTCACCCACTCACTTAATCTGTTTCAAGACTTTGTGTTTTTCAGGAGCTATGTCGTGTAACCCCTCATTCGGTGGTATCGGTAAAGGGCATCTAATGAGAGAGATCGATGCTTTAGACGGAGTCTGTGCCAGGATATGTGGTATGTTACATGAACTATATCATGAATTTTGCTATAAATGTACAGGGTTTTGACTTACAAAACTAGGTGTCCGGGAAATCCCCAAGAACTACTTTTAAGGGTCCTTGCAGGCAATCTGAGGGTCCTTGCAGGCAATATGGAGTCCTGTAAAGTAATGTTGTGGTGTAGTGTACTGTACATCTTGATAATTACTTTAGACTTAAAAAAATAAATGAATTGGTTCTCAGGCAATGTTTTTTGAAAATATAGTGTGGGCCGGCGATGTCATTTTAAATTTTGTTGTTGTTGTTATTTAAACTGGTATGTAACCAAATAAACAGTTGTGTAACCAGATAAACAATTGTGTACTATCACTCAGGGAAAGGGCCTCCCTACATAAATGTATTCCTTGAAGAGTGAAACACTGGTATACAGTATTTGACTAAAGGATTTTTTGATATTTTTTTAAATATGGAAATAAAAATGAAACATGGCGCAAACTTTATGATGATGTGGGTGGTGCCTGAGAACCAAGATTTTTTTTAGCCTCAGAGCCTGAAATGAATCAATGATCATGTGGACGGTGGTCTTTATTGATGGATGAAATAACAGACACCCATCACTGCTGTTGATGTGCTGTAGATACAATGAATATTATTGTGCGCTCTTCGGGACGCAGTATATTTTTTTCCTGCGTCCATTCTATACATTTGTGTGTTCTCGACGCATATTTGTGTGTCGTGTAAAACCCTGAATGTAGTGTAGGCCTGATGTACCACCATGTTCGCTTGTAAGTGTGTTCGTCCTCAACATAACTAATACTGTAGATCATGAAATTAATGCGCAAATGTGGCCCTTGCTCACATTAATAAAGATATTTTCTGGGCATGTTTGAGTTTACTGTCACGTCAGGTTCACTGAACATGCCGGCCGGAATCAAGGAGATACGCAAAAAATTAAGATATTTTCACCATTGTAACCTGTTCTTCTTTGTTTGTTTCAGATAAATCTGGTGTGCAATACAAAGTTCTTAACAAGCGAAAGGGACCAGCTGTGTGGGTAAGGACAGTTTCCTGGCAACCAGCTATGTAATATCAAAAACAAAAATTTAAACAATAAGCCCATGATAAATTACTTACTTTTCAGCATCACCACCTGATTCTGATTGTACGTGTATTAAGATAAGTAAAAAATACAGATTTATATCACAGGTCATGACTAGTTTTATTGATGCGATAAACCAATACAATAAACTTGGTATTATGATGCATATGAGGTGAGTGAGTTTGGTTTACAGTGCTTTTAACAGTATTCTGGTTACATCATGGCATGTCAGCTTATTTTGGGAGAAAAGCCTGAAGTGATGCATGTCTTATATGTTTACTAATTTGGTGAAACCCACAAGCACCAAGTTTGCTGACAAACCTAGAAACATAAATGGGGTGAAGCAGGATTCAAAATCCACGATCACTTCTGGCCTGCTCAAGGGACGCAACTCTGCTCAGCAAATTGCAGGTCTTTTGACCACTGGGTTACTCGTGACCCCACACTCCGGCGCAGTGGTGACTCAGCATAACACCACTGCCACAGGCTAATTTGCATATCACGTTACCAGCCTTTTCTCTTGTTTGTAAACAAACACGCTTTTTCAGAAATCAGAATAGAACAGATTATGCAAGTAATTTTAGGGCAATTTGAATATTGGTTCGCATAGTTTTATAAATATGCTACTACAACTGCAACAGTGAGTTGCATGAACTACATATTTACGCATCAAAGTGACCGTATCGCTAGCTCTCCGTTGGGCTTCAATGACAGCACGTGGAGCCGAACAACCAGTGTAAATAAAGGATAACTAAGCAAAAACAAGTAGATGTTCACGTATGAGGATACTTTCTTAATGAACCGTAACGATTCTTTGACATTTGTTTATAAAAATGTGTAGACTTGTCAAACATGAAACGGATGAAAAGCATATTCAATATCTTGAATGGACTGTGAAAGATGTGACGAATCGTCACATGGCGCTGGCCTGTGGCAGAGGTACTATGCTGGCTGGCTGCCGGCCGCATGGAACTCTGGGTAGGAGAGTGTCGTGCCCCCTGCCCACCAGGAACTACTTTCAAGCTCCATGCATCAGTGCAATGCCCTCCTCTCTCAATAAACTGTACATTATCATTCCCCAAATACTTAGATAGGAATTACCCAATGTGTTGCCGTGTTTCTGTAGACGAAAATGGGTGTAAATCATTTGGTACTACCGTATTCGACGTAATAAGCGCCCCGCTCTAATAAGCACCCACGGTGATATTTGCTAATATATTGGCTAGTGAACAATCCCAATTAACACTTCTTCTGATTGATCAATGTACATAAGACTTATTATCATGTATAATACGTGTTATATGCACCCTTAATTATAGGCAATTAAACTCTGGAAAAATATATCTATCGTGTGTAAACATTTCAGGCTGTCAGCATAAACCATGAAATTTGTGATCTTTCAACTCTGTTTTTTTTCCACCAAAATAATATTCTAATTAGAGCCCCCTATTTCTAATTTTGAGAGCGCACTGGGCACTTATTACGTTGAATACGGTATATGATAAATTCGGCGATTAACTCAAACGTGTATTCATACGCGGTTTCTAGAGTTGCTGCTATGAGTGAAATTACATCTTATTTTTAAACATACATTTATTTTAAGAATTACATAATATGAAAAATATATTATAACTCGCCTGTATTCCTAATATATATTTGCAATATGGAAATGCATGTGACCAAATGATCTCTACAAGGACCACCCGATGTCTTTTCATGACCGATTAACTATGGTAATGTGAAAGAATTGAGTGGTCCTTTACTTCTTTTGAGCAGTATATATAGTATATCTGTACCATGCTTCTGGAAAATTTCTACATAGCTTTATAGATTTGTAAATTGCCAAAATGTTGAACCTTTTAAGATGCTGATAAATCATTTTAACAGCAATTACAATGGGTTTTATCTTACAGGGCCCAAGAGCACAGATAGACAGAGAACTGTACAAACAACATATACAAACTGAGATCAACAACACCGACAATCTAACTGTCCTAGCAGCTCCTGTAGAAGATCTCATACTCACCAATACAGGAAGTGATGTCACAAAACAGCGATGTCAAGGAGTTGTTCTAGGTACAGTCATATCAAACAACAGCGCTGTTGAGGTAGCCTAGTGGTTGAAGGGGTCGCTCATCACGCCAAATTCCTGGGTTCAAGTACAATGATGGAAACTGAATTCTGTCTTAAAGCGGTTTCAAAACACTCACTCACAATCTCATAATAATCAGATCTTAGAGCTCACTGGCGCTACACTAAAATCTGAGGACATCTTATTACAGGTCACGGCAGAACAACCTTTCATCCAACCAATCACAGCATTGCTTGCAGGATCGTGAGAGACTGAATTTGTTTTGAAAAGGTTAACATCGAGCATTCCGAACAACCGAACAAAAGTATGACTAATTACTTATGTTAGACATCGGAAGAGACTTTCCATATCCCCCCGGAAGTACTACCGTACAATCTCAGACATCTATCAGACAAATTTTATTTTGTTCTGATTTCAAATTTTAAATCGTGAACTTTATCAAAATGTTTTTCAAAGTGTAGTAGGAATAGAAGACACCAGTTTGAAACCAGTGCTGTTTAGCTAAAAAAAACCTGCTTTCTGATTGGCGAATGTTAACTTTCTATTTGTCATTTCATTGGTCGGTCAAAAGGTTGTCCTGACATGACCTGTATTGGTCTTCAACCTGAGGACATCCCAATACAGGTCATGTCAGCAGAGTGTAGCGGTAGTGAGCACAAAAATCTGATTTTTATGAGATTGCACTCACTCATATCATATCAATCAGTGGGAAAGTGTTACATTACATTAAAAAAATGAAGCACGTCCCTGTGTATATCCGTTTCCCTGAACGGCATCATCTGCTTAGATAACCTACATGTGCCACTCCCATTAAGTTAGGTCTGCATCAACCTTGGTTTGTTAGAGGTGACTTACCGGAGTGGATGGGTCAGGCTCGGTACAAGTACCACTCCCATTAAGTTAGGTCTGCATCAACCTTGGTTTGTTAGAGGTGACTTACCGGAGTGGATGGGTCAGGCTCGGTACAAGTACCACTCCCATAAGTTAGGTCTGCAGCAACCTTGGCTTGTAAGAGGCGACTTACCGGAGTGGATGGGTCAGACACGGTACAAGTACCACTCCCATAAGTTAGGTCTGCAGCAACCTTAGCTTGTAAGAGGCGACTTACCGGAGTGGATGGGTCAGACAGGGTACATGTGCCACTCCGATAAAGTTAGGTCTGCAGCAACCTTGGCTTGTAAGAGGCAACTTACCGGAGTGGATGGGTCAGACACGGTACATGTGCCACTCCCATAAAGTTAGGTCTGCATCAACCTTGGTTTGTTAGGGGTGACTTACCGGAGTGGATGGGTCAGGCTCGGTACAAGTACCACTCCCATAAGTTAGGTCTGCAGCAACCTTGGCTTGTAAGAGGCGACTTACCGGAGTGGATGGGTCAGACACGGTACAAGTACCACTCCCATAAGTTAGGTCTGCAGCAACCTTAGCTTGTAAGAGGCGACTTACCGGAGTGGATGGGTCAGACAGGGTACATGTGCCACTCCGATAAAGTTAGGTCTGCAGCAACCTTGGCTTGTAAGAGGCAACTTACCGGAGTGGATGGGTCAGTCATGGTACATGTGCCACTCCCATAAAGTTAGGTCTGCAGCAACTTTGGCTTGTAAGAGGCAACTTACCGGAGTGGATGGGTCAGGCTCGGTACATGTGCCACTCCGAAAAGTTAGGTCTGCAGCAACATTGGCTTGTAAGAGGCGACTTACCGGAGTGGATGGGTCAATTGCAAGCTCGGTGACTTGGCTGTATAACATCATACCCGACAGTGTTGCACAGTACTCATAATTGGAATCACTAGTTTGTCTGGTCCAGACTCGGTTATTTACAGGCTGTCGTCATATAGCTTGAAAATATTACTCAGTGCACCTTTAAACAACAAATAAACAAAAACATTCATCACATTATGTTATGCAATAGGATGTTATATGATTAAACTTAGTATGTTATTGCAGATATAACGCTCTGGGTCCCGTTCTACAAAGCGATCTTAGCACAAAGACGATCGTAACTCCCATACTTTATCATAGACTTACGACATTTGTTTTGTACAATCACTTGGTAGGACTGGGCCCTGATCTTCATGGTGTGTTGGAGTTTGTTTAATCTCAAGTTCAGTCCATCAATGCCTTCAGTTGCCATACGAAAGGTACCCTGATAATACTGGAATATTCCTCAAAACAGGGCAAAACCTGACTTACCCAGTTTACTGTATTATGAACATATTTTTATGCTATATCAGCAGTCATGAATATCACTCATGAATTTTTTACCATATTATGAAGACATGGAAGCCGACGAATGAGGATCAATGAGTGAGTGAGTGAGTGAGTGAGTTGGGTTTAACGCCGTTTTTGACAGTATTCCAGTTATATCACGGCGTGTCAGCTTAATGTGGGAGGAAAGCCCGAAGTGATGCCAGGTCTCAGACATTTACCACTTCGGTGAAACCCACGAGCATGGGTATGGTGCTGACAAACTTAGAAACATAATCAGGGTGAACCGGGATTTGAACCCACAATCATAGGTTTCCGGCGTGCCCAAGGAACGCAACTCTGCACAGCGAATTGCAGTGCCTTAGACCACTGGGCCACCCGTGCTCCAGAGTAACTTGTGACCCTGACAGTGTGTCATTGTGGTCTGACAACCTGGATCGATGCTCTTGCTATCAACCACTGTCCAACCCTAGAATATTTCAAGGCTATTATAATACGACTGGAATATTGCTGACTGTGGCTTAAAACGCATGCACACTCACTAGTTGTTTGTGTAATGGTGCACTCAGGAATTTACCAGCTATGTGATGGCACCCTGTACAGTGATTGATATTATGAACAACAATCCACACTGTCAGGGTACGATGACACACAACCAACTCACTGAGCCTGACCACCAATCTATCAAGTTGCCTCTTTTGACAAGCATGGGTTTCTGGGACCTAACCTAACCTGGGAACCCCATGGGGTCACTTCAAAGTTTAATGGACAATCTTCTGTTGATAGACGGGGCGGTCGGGTAGCCTAGTGGTTTAAGCGTTCGCTCGTCACGCCGAAGACCCGGGTTCGAATCCGGACATGGGTTCAATGTGTGAAGCCCATTTCTGGTGTCCCCCGCTGTGATATTGCTTGAATATTGCTAAAAGCGGCGTAAAACCAAACTCACTCATTCACTCACTGTTGATAGACAATGGTGACAGAATCTACGGGAACACAGTTGTCATGACAACAGGGACATTTCTGCGAGGCTGCATCAACATCGGTATGTCTGTGCATCCTGCTGGAAGGCTGGGAGATGAGCCGGCAGTTGGCCTCGCCAGAAGTCTGGAGGACGCCGGCTTTAAACTGGGAAGACTGAAAACAGGTAGGTTGTGAGGAGGCCGGACTATCAAACACATTTGTACTATTATGATACTATTGAAATATTAGTACAACTGTTGCAATAGTATTATGACAATATTAAACACTTTAGTGATACTGTAAAGTAGGGACAAATAGGTGTCAAAAGGAAGCACACGCTTCATGGAAGTTGCCATTTATTCATATAAAAATAGAATTTACAAAAAAACTTTGAATTGACAATGATCAGGTCGTAAAAAATGGAATCGGAATCAAGGCGCATCAAACACTTTCTCACAGACACTATTGAAATATTGGTACAACTGTTGCATAGGGGCGACTATTTGGGCTATTTACACCATTGCGGTTGTTTTGCAATAGTGGCCCACACTATTGCTATAGTATTGCCATAGTTGATATTTTAACATTTCATTAATATTTTGCCATTTGTCCATCTGGCCGTTTGTTCGTTCGTTCATTCGTTCCTGCTATCTTTTGCTTTTCTTCCTTTGTTCCTTCATTTGTCACTCACTCACTCACTTTCTAGGAACGCCCCCTAGACTGGATGGTCGGAATATTGACTACAGTAAAACGACAGTCATGTATGGAGATGACCCACCAACTCCCTTCTCTTTCCTGAATGATGAAGTATGGATACAGGTAGGTGGAACCAAGTGGGTAATGACCCCAATATCTCCGACTGCGTTCTGACAGAACAAGTCAATCCGATTACAATTAGGGGGCACGGGTGGCCCAGTCGTCTAAGGCGCCGCAATTCGCTGTGCAGAGTTGCGGCCCTTGGGCACGCCAGAAACCTATGATTGTGGGTTCGAATCTCGGTTCGGATGTTTCTAGGTTTGTCAGCACCACACCCGTGCTCGTGGGTTTCACCGAAGTAGTAAACGTCTGAGACCTGCATCACTTTGGTCTTTCCTCCCACTTTAAGCTGACACGCCGCGATATAACTGGAATACTGTTAAAAGCGGCGTTAAAGCCAACTCACTCACTCACTCACCGATTACAATTAGCCAATGTGATCCTTAGCAACCCATACTTGTCGTCACAGGTTTGTTTGTTTGTTTGTTTGCTGTTTAACACCACACTCAGCAATATTCGAGCTATATGCAGCAGTCTGTAAATATTCAAGTCTGGACCAGACAATCCAGTGATTGACATCATGAGCATTGATCCACGCAATTGGGATACGATGACATGCATCAACCAAGTCAGCGAGCCTGACCACCGGATCCCGTTAGTCGCCTCTTACGACAAGCATAGTCGCCTGTTGCGGCAAGCATGGGTTGCTGAAGACCTATTCTACTCCGGGTCTTTACGGGTCTATCGTTAGAGGTGACTAGCAGGATCAGTTGACTTGGCTGATGCCTGTCATCTTATTCAAATTGCATAGATTGATGTTCGTGATGTCAATCACTAGATTGTTTGGTCCTGACTTGATTATTTATGGACCTATGTCATGTAACTGGAATATAAGTGCAGCATTAAACAACAAGCAAACAAAAAAAATCAGATATTTTACTGATACGAAACTGTGGTGGCCTGACATCCACTCCATTGCAGGTCATGACAAGTGAACTTACCAGTCAGCCAATCATTCTGGAGGCTTCTTATTTCTTTGTTCAAACAAGTCAAAAATTCGGAGCAGTACATCTGATACAGAATCGAAAAATGAATGTGAATGGGCAGTTCTGAATGGAGAATATTTATATTGTAAAGCAAATTAACCCCAGTTTTTCTGAGCTTCATGACATCTAAACCCAAATGGGTGCACTATCAAGGAAATGGCATTTAAACCCGGGAAGTTAAACAGGAAGAGTAAATCATTAACAATTGTTGGCACCTATGAAGACAGGTCACAGACCTAGAGCTCTTGCACTATTGTTTGTCTATCAGTGTTTTGACTCATTATTCAGCATTCTTAAATCTGGATATTTTTTGGTTATAGGGTTCACAATATTTAGTTAATTAAACATGAAAAAAAGAAACTTTTCATTTTTGTTTACTTTGAGAAAATATTTAAATTTTCATTCAAACCTGAGTTTATCCATACCAAATAGTCTGTGTTGGTTCAATTAAAGGATTTCATGTTTTACAAAGGTTGAGAAAGTATTTGAACACACAATTTAAAGTACTAAGTTGCACAGGACTCAATTTGCCAAGAACAGTTACTGCACATAGTTATCTCCCTTAGACCATGCATGTCTTCCTCCACCAAAGCTTCCAAAATCTATAAGACTTCAGCGACAAAGCAATTCATGGATAAAAGGTAAATATTCTTCATTTTCCTACTTCATTTCTGTTTTATAATTTTGTTTGGTTGATTTAGTGAGATGAGGGTTAGAAACAAGTGTTAAATAATTACAGAGTCACATATATCCACTGTAAATCTCATTATCTCAAAAGTTATTATGAAAAAGAGTTTTGATTCTCAAGAATGTTTTGGCTATTTTAGAACAATTTTAGTTTTAGTTTCCCCCCAAATAGAAACAACTTTAAAAAAAAAAATTAAAATGTTAAAGCATGGAATATGAATTGTTTCAAGTAGACTATTTTTTTATTAATATCTCTCTGATTCAGGCACATATGTGATTTAACTGAAAATTTTGTTTATTTGATTATTTTTTATATTCTTCTTTCATAAATATTGTTGAAAATCAATCCAACTTTTTGTTCTCAAATCACAGGTAAAATTAAGACAATTTTAGGGTACAGTAAACTACAATTATAACGCGAACTCAAAGGGACCACTAATTTGAGTTCGCTACACCTGTTATTTCGTTATGAGTGTGTTCGTTAAATGCCTCAACTTTATATGATAAAATATATTGAAAATGATCAGGACCGAAAGAATAGTTTGTTATATCCATCAGTTTGTTTTAAGTGTGTTCGTTATAAACATAGTTTGCTGTATCAGTTTATTCAATGAAGGGAGGAGGTAGGATGGGGACCCTTGTTCGACCAATGGAAATGTCACATTTTAAAGTTTTGGAAAACTTCGAAATATAAGCTTGAAAATTAATCACTTGCCTTTTTCCATTCGTATACTTGTACATTTTGGACACTGACATCATCATATACACATATATAGTAAAAATAAGTGATAAAGGCAGGTATTTAATTGCTTAATTTTTCAAATGAAAATCCAGTTGGTTGGGATCCACTCACTCACAAAGTTTCCTAGACCTCACGTTTGCAATCTGCTGTCTCATAGGCAACATCCCCTTGCAGGTGAGAGCTTGCTACATTCTGGGCATCTCTAACATTCCAACATATCTTGCCCCAGTCTGAGTCAGACCCCACAGTTGCACCCGGACATATTGCGGATGATTCGTCAGCGCTTCGGCCACTCAAACGTCATCTTGTTTCCCTCACACTACAACCACCAGCTTCGGACGTTCATATCACTGATACCGGATGTCCTTGCTTGGAATCACGACGCCCTCGCCTTTGATTTGAACGGCGCTCCTTCCCCGAGTTCTAGTGAAACTCCACAGTGAATATCCAGATTCTTTTGGTAGTGCCTTTTTGGCCCAGTCGGACATGGTTCCCCCATCTGCTCCGACTCACAGGAGAGCCAGACCAAAAACTCCCTTTGTTTCCCGGTCTGCTCAGAAATCCACACACTGGTCAACCACACTGATGCCCAGTGTCGTGGGATGTACATGTGTGGCCCATTTGCAAAATGCATTGACGGCCAGGGTTTTCTCCATGGGGGCAGCTCTCACTATCCGTCAGACACATCGCCCTTCTACGGCCGCCCTGACCAGAAATGATTATAATTTGAGGCTTATTGCCGTCAGCATGATATGGATCCTACATTGGTGACAACTCCATACATAGCAGGCTACTTACGTGAGACAAAACATTTGTCAGGCTGTTATGTCTCAGCCATTAGTTCTGTCCTTGGCACCTCCCCATCCACCTGTATCAACATTGCTCCCGAACTCGCTGCTATACTACGGGGTTACCATAATGCCAATCAGCAATTGAAGTTTGCCCTCCGGCCTTGGATCTGGGACTGGTTCTGAGACACCTCGTTTATCCCTTTAAACCTATCCCCTCTGCAGGGGAACTGGTACCTCTTACTCAGACAACTGCCTTTGTCATGTCATTAGCCACTGCGGCATGGGTCAGTGAACTGCACGCCATAGACGTCACCCAGATCAAGTTTGGACGTGGTCCATGAGCGGAGGTACATCTCAATCTCATTAAAATCAGACCTTGGTTCTCGCTAAACAAAGATCTGATTAGGGGTCATCAGACCGAGCTTTCATCTGACCAATCAGAGAGTCGCTTACCAGATTATGAAAGTGACAGTCGGAATGTGATTTCTCATCATGCAATTTAGAAAACTTTAACACAGGATATTCCGAAAGATTGTTACGGGTTTAACGACTGAATCCATACAATATAGACGATCTATTAGCCATTCCACAATGTTCTTTTGTTTAGGCTTCAAATTTGTAATCGGGAATTTGTCAAAATATGTTTCGAAGTGTAGTCGCCAATTTGAAATTAGTGCTGTAAAGCACGAGAAAGCTTCCTTCTGATTGGTCATGCCATTGCAAAGTTCGCGCAAGGTCGATTTGACATGACCCATAATGGGATGTCCTCAGATCTTTGTTTAGCGGTAGCGAGAACTAAGGTCTGATTTTAATGAGATTGAGGTACATCTTAGCTTAATGGGGACATTATTTGCCGGAAATCAGTTGCCTGGTCAGTCGGACCACACCTTCACTATGGCCCTGCTGACTAACATTGTTAGGTCTGGTGATACAGAGGACATCAGAGGACATCAGAGGATGCTGTAACTAGTTGCTTTTGCCACCAACAAAAATGCCTTTTCCTAGCGACCATCAAGGTGGGTCACAAGAATATCTCCAAGAATATGCAACGTAATTTCATACCCAGGCTTACATTTTGGTGATGCATTATGGGACTATTGAAGTTGAACACACCCTTGGGTTGAAGACAAAGAGGCAGTCTAGTCTAGTCTATGCTCTGGCCCAACCATTTAATCGCAAATGGGGACATGCAGTTGATCCAACATGCCATCCAACCTTGGGATAATTGCATACTGTTGTGGAGGGATAAGGTAAAAAACATTAGGACACGATTATTCCCCTTATTTATATTCTTATCCTGACACAACAGGTCATGACTGCCCGCTTGTCCATCGCCTCAAAGATTTGGAACAACTTGTCACCCCTTTATGGGCGATCACGGTAAAATGATGAGTAGTACAGGAGCATGCTGGGAGTGAGGTGGTCGGAGGGTGTTCCGGTGATTTGTGCAAACACACCAAGCAAATGAGATAAAAGTACAAAATACACATGATAAAAACACATACATAATAATGTTTTTGGCACGAACTTGGGAGCTGACAGATTCTTATCACAGACGAGGAATGACCGAGAGCTAGGTGATGGTCCCTTGGCTGCTTCATGGCTTGGACTATGGTCTGCGGTACGGGACTTCGTCCTGAGTTCTGATGTAGACTTGGGGGAGAAAAGGATGCTCTAAGATGAGTAGGCAAAGCCCAAAGCAAGTGATTGGATAGGTACCCCCTTACAAGAGTGAGTGCCGCCCTCGCCCCCCCTTCGATCTTTGGGAAAAGAATGGAGAGAGAGGGCATATGGGAAAATTGGCTCTTCTGAGCATGTGTATGCAAGACGTATGCGCATGCACAGAGGGGGATAGTTGTAGGTGTAAAATTGACATATACATGTAAATAAATTTCAATACACTGGACACAAAATACACTGAATTTGCACAAACCACAATATAAAGTTATCGTTTGTTTTACATTGTTCTACACTGTTATATGATTGAAGCAAGAAGGAATATTGCATATTGTTGTGTCGTCCAGCCAAAATATAAATTTGTAATAATTCCAGCCTAGTTTGGCAAGGGTGGAAACTGGACTTTTACAGTCAGTTAACTCCTTTGCGACAGGAAGATGGAAAATAAGAGGGATGAAGTTGTTTAAAGTTTCTTGAAGTGCAAAATTGATAGAACAATTGTGATAAAATCTTGTCTTTTTTTCATTTCACCTTATTGTGAAACAGAGTCAGTCCCAATATATTGTCAAAAATAATTTATTTATTTGTCTAATTTAATATATTTTGGTCTGACCTCATAAACCAACTAAAACAAAAACAAGGTCAAAGCTTTATTACAAAGCGAAAATTGAATTTAATCATATTACTGTGTGGTCCCATTTTTAGATTTGCGTTTTTCTCTTTAGGCCAAAGATCAGCTGAAATGTCACATGACTCGCACAACAGAAGCTGTTGAGAAGATTGTCATGGAGACATTACATCTCAACAAGCATGTTCAGGAGGAGATAACTGGACCAAGGTAGGACATTACAAACCTCTAAAAGTATTTGTAGAACCTTGGATTTGGTTGTGTAGCAGTCCTCACAACAACCCTATCCCTGTCACTCACAGGTCTTTGTGTGGTCCTGTGTTGAACTGGAGCTTGACCTGATGCTGGATAAAATGTCTGACCTCAACAGGACCAATCAGCTTCTGATACAATACTTTTTTTATTTTATGTTTCGCAGATTTATTCCAGCTTTTCCACACATATTATTCATTCATTCATTCATTCATTCATTCATTCATTCATTCATTCATTCATTTAATTCATTCATTCATTCATTCATTCATTTTATTTATATATTTATTTATTTATTTATTTTGTGGATGCCTCGGTGGCTGAATGGGTTAGATCGATGAACTTTGTGTGCTGGCGATCAGGTTCCTCACTCTGGCAGTGTGGGTTCGAACTCAACCCAAAGAATTTACTAGAATCTGTACTTTACTAAGAAAGTGTTATGCCAATTATGACATTTATTATGCTTGACATCTGTTGTGTCTACTCTAAGAATAGCATCATGTCAAGGACATTTTATGTCCTTATGTACACAAGGTTTATGCCCCTTGGTGAAATGTTACCACACTAAAGTTGACCGTTCTACAGAAGAAGTTAGTATCCTAAATCTGTACATGCTTCGAACCTTTGCATGAATATCGATGAATAATTCCTGTTTCACGCCAGCCACGAAAATATTCACGGACCACCTAGTCATCCCCTGCCCAAACAAAGTGATAAATGAACAGGTTCGTCCATCAGGTTTCATTTCCAGAGCAGTACTCATAAACCTTCAATATTTATTCATCAGGCATGTGCTCTGGTGCCTTTTGGTGTTCATTAATATTTTGATTGTATTTTCTGCATTACCACATTGAACTTGAGGGTATTTGAATGTAACATCTATCTATTGCATTGACATCTAAATGTACAAAATTCAAAGGACTTGCATAGGGTCTTACTGTCAACCGGTACAGTTTTAGAAGTATTGTGGATATGAAGAAGAACTGTATGTACCCTGATCTGAAAGCCAAATGTAAACCAGTTTAAACAACCATCTAGATCATTGAATATCCTTTAGTTTGGTATACATGGTACCACCTCTGTGGTCTAGTGGATGGAGCGGCTGCTGGCGAGCATCAGGTCTGTGGTTCAATCCCTTGCTGCATCATACCAAAAGATGTCAACAGATGGTACTTGTTGTTACACTGCCTGGGGCTAAAATAAGGACAAGTTGGCATGGAATCAGTATAAAGTGTCTGAGTGGGGTATTCATGTTAAAATGTGGCATGGAGTAGTTTGTTCATCTTATTGATATTCCTACCTGGCATTTGTCCACTGTGCCGGGCATTGTCTATACTTGTTAACCAGTCAACTACTTCTCAGTGTTTCCAAGAATGTTAACCACTCAACAACTTATCAGTGTTTCCAAGAATGTTAACCAGTCAACTACTTATAAGTGTTTCCAAGAATGTTAACCAGTCAACTACTTATCAGTGTTTCCAAGAATGTTAACCAGTCAACTTTTTATCAGTGTTTCCAAGAATATTAACCAGTCAACTATTTATCAGTGTTTCCAAGAATGTTAACCAGTCAACTATTTATCAGAGTTTCCAAGAATGTTAACCAGTCAACTACTTCTCAGTGTTTCCAAGAATGTTAACCACTCAACAACTTATCAGTGTTTCCAAGAATGTTAACCAGTCAACTACTTATCAGTGTTTCCAAGAATGTTAACCAGTCAACTACTTATCAGAGTTTCCAAGAATGTTAACCAGTCAACTATTTATCAGTGTTTCCAAGAATATTAACCAGTCAACTATTTATCAGTGTTTCCAAGAATGTTAACCAGTCAACTATTTATCAGTGTTTCCAAGAATGTTAACCAGTCAACTACTTATCAGTGTTTCAAAGAATGTTAACCAGTCAACTATTTATCAGTGTTTCCAAGAATATTAACCAGTCAACAACTTATCAGTGTTTCCAAGAATGTTAACCAGTCAACTACTCATCAGTGTTTCCAAGAATATTAACCAGTCAACAACTTCTCAGTGTTTTCCAAGAATATTAACCAGTCAACTACTTATTAGTGTTTCCAAGAATGTTAACCAGTCAACTACTTATCAGTGTTTCCAAGAATATTAACCAGTCAACAACTTCTCAGTGTTTTCCAAGAATATTAACCAGTCAACTATTTATCAGTGTTTCCAAGAATATTAACCAGTCAACAACTTATCAGAGTTTCCAAGAATGTTAACCAGTCAACTACTTATCAGTGTTTCCAAGAATGTTAACCAGTCAACAACTTATCAGAGTTTCCAAGAATGTTAACCAGTCAACTATTTATCAGAGTTTCCAAGAATATTATCCAGGCAACTACTTATCAGTGTTTCCAAGAATATTAACCAGTCAACTACTTATTAGTGTTTCCAAGAATGTTAGCCAGTCAACAACTTATCAGTGTTTCCAAGAGTGTTAACCAGTCAACTATTTATCAGTGTTTCCAAGAATATTAACCAGTCAACTTCTTCTCAGTGTTTCCAAGAATATTAACCAGTCAACTACGTATCAGTGTTTCCAAGAATATTAACCAGTCAACTTCTTCTCAGTGTTTCCAAGAATGTTAACCAGTCAATTACTTATCAGTGTTTCCAAGAATATTAACCAGTCAACTGCTTCTCAGTGTTTCCAAGAATATTAACCAGTCAACTACTTATCAGTATTTTTCAAGAATATTAACCAGTCAACTACTTATAAGTGTTTCCAAGAATGTTAACCAGTCAACTATTTATCAGAGTTTCCAAGAATGTTAACCAGTCAACTACTTATCAGTGTTTTTCAAGAATATTAACCAGTCAACTTCTTCTCAGTGTTTCCAAGAATGTTAACCAGTCAACAACTTATCAGAGTTTCCAAGAATGTTAACCAGTCAACTATTTATCAGAGTTTCCAAGAATATTATCCAGGCAACTACTTATCAGTGTTTCCAAGAATATTAACCAGTCAACTACTTATTAGTGTTTCCAAGAATGTTAGCCAGTCAACAACTTATCAGTGTTTCCAAGAATGTTAACCAGTCAACTATTTATCAGTGTTTCCAAGAATGTTAACCACTCAACTACTTATCAGTGTTTCCAAGAATATTAACCAGTCAACTTCTTCTCAGTGTTTCCAAGAATATTAACCAGTCAACTACTTATCAGTGTTTCCAAGAATATTAACCAGTCAACTACTTATCAGTGTTTCCAAGAATGTTAACAAGTCAACTTCTTCTCAGTGTTTCCAAGAATATTAACCAGTCAACTACTTATCAGTGTTTCCAAGAATATTAACCAGTCAACTACTTCTCAGTGTTTCCAAGAATATTAACCAGTCAACTACTTATCAGTGTTTCCAAGAATGTTAACCAGTCAACTACTTATCAGTGTTTCCAAGAATGTTAACCAGTCAACAACTTATCAGAGTTTCCAAGAATGTTAACCAGTCAACTATTTATCAGAGTTTCCAAGAATATTATCCAGGCAACTACTTATCAGTGTTTCCAAGAATATTAACCAGTCAACTACTTATTAGTGTTTCCAAGAATGTTAGCCAGTCAACAACTTATCAGTGTTCCCAAGAATGTTAACCAGTCAACTATTTATCAGTGTTTCCAAGAATATTAACCAGTCAACTATTTATCAGTGTTTCCAAGAATGTTAACCAGTCAACTATTTATAAGTGTTTCCAAGAATGTTAACCAGTCAACTACTTATCAGTGTTTCCAAGAATATTAACCAGTCAACTACTTCTCAGTGTTTCCAAGAATATTAACCAGTCAACTACTTATCAGTGTTTCCAAATATATTAGCCAGTCAACTACTTATCAGAGTTTCCAAGAATGTTAGCCAGTCAACTACTTCTCAATGTTTCCAAGAATATTATCCAGTCAACTACTTATGAGTGATTCCATTTGTCTAATTGTGGGAATTTCCGACGCTCTTTGTCCCTCAGGGACGCTGTTAGTACAGCATGACTAGGAATTCTCATTACATTGTGCCAAGTAAAATATTAAAATATTAACATAAGCATGTTTTTTAAAAAAAATTGTCAACTGACAAAACATGAAAACAGATGACTTCTTTCTTTTGTTGAAAGAGCACAGTCATAAGTGATCTTCAGGTCTAAAACTGTGTGTTTCCAATAATTTTCACTCACCAATTAAAATTTTGAAATCTTTGAAAAGTTACCTGAACCGGTAGTTTATCACTGCCAACTATGTGACAGTCAGTTAATAAGGTCACCTGAAACACTGGACACATGACATTAGTTTTAAAGAAAGTAGTGTTAATCACTTACCAGCACTATTCATGAACAGGTACAGCATATTTACTTAAGTGGTAGCAGTAATCTAAAGCTAGCAACTTGCTCATACAACTGGCTTCAAAAGAACTTTGAAAAAAGCTTTTATCATTTCGCACTGTTTGTTCGGGTGCATATCACTTTGAGCATGAAGAAGCAAGTTTCTTCTTAGATATCACTGTATACAAGAGAAATCTTGATAACGATTGACACAAACATTTTTTTCTGATTTTTTTATCCCACCAATGATGAATTACAGCAGGTGTCTAAACACAGCAGTGGGAGATGTCAGTATGTTATCAGAAAGGTTAACAACAAGTGACAGGTAGTTGTACTGCTGTGTTTCTATGTCATTATTTCTTAGGTATTGGCACACAATACCTTAATTTGTTAAACAAAGATTCTGAGTTGGATTTTAACCAGATAGAACCTAGTTCAAATGGTTACGGGGACCGCCTCCGTGGTCTAGGGGTAGAGCGTCTGCCCGGAGAACGGAAGGTCCGGGGTTCGATCCCTGGCCGCGTCAAACCAAAAGACATAAAGATGGTACTTGTTGTTACCCTGACTGGCGCTTGGCATCAAGGGGCTAAAACAAGGACTGGTCGGCTTGGAGTCAATATACTGTGTCTGAGTGGGGTATT